GCTGAGAAATTCAGCAAATATTTCAGTAAGAGAAATAACATAACGTCTTCAAATAATTAAGATAAAATGAAAATGAAAATATCATACTAAGTGATATATGATTGATTGATTGATTTGCTGTTTTGCATCATTTGTTTAACTATCTTTTTATAATATAAGATGTGTAATATGTAAATATCTAGTAAAGCTCTCTGTACTCTTCAAAGGAACACAGTATGCCTAGCATAGTGTTAATGACCAGGATAATAGCTTTAACATTCAAAGGGGGAAAAAGTCAGATTATGAACAATGGAAATCCAACCATGCAAGAAGGAACATGCATGTTACTATGGGTATCACTGAAGACTGCAGATTCTTACTCTTACAGATAACTGTTCCATGATCCATATTCCTGGATACACATACCCAGTGAAAGAGTACTTACTGGAGGATGTGGTGGAATTACTTGGGTGAGCTCATTTACAGTTTTGTGGAATATTTACAAAATAGTGTTGTTCTAAAAAGTGGGGTCAGCAAGAAATTCATATATTTATGCAGCAAGGATGCTTTCAGTTGATTAAAAGTGACAGTAAAGACATGTTTTTTTCATCAAATAAATCACAAAAAGATCACGGTTACCATGAAAATATTAAGCAGCACAACTGTTTCAACAGTAATAATAATAAGTGTTTCTTGAGCACCAAATAAGCATAATAGAGTGATTTCTGAAAGATAATTCGACACTGAAATATTGGCTGCTGAGAATTCATCTTTTTCATCACAGGAATAAAGTACAAAATTCAGTATTTAAGCAGCTCTTGTCCATACAGTTTAACATTTTGTACTGACCATGTCTTTTTGGATTGCCATTTTTGGGTGAATTATTCCTTTAGGCTGGTATCTCCATTTTAGATTTTCCCATCATGTTGTAGCGCAGTGACTGCAGTAGATGCACTACAGTGAACTTGACTGACTGAACTTAGCAGTAGGAGTATCTAATTGGAGTATCTAACTTTGGTTCATAGGTTCAAGCCACAACATCAGGACCGCAGACCTCGCTATAGGAGAGGATTTATGCACGGCCAGAATGTACGGCCAGAGAAGGAACAGAAAGAGGCCGAATACCGCGAGAGCTGGCCATGCTTTGCCCGTACGCTCAGAGATCGGTCAGTCTTTTTTGATAAACAATCTCATGGTGTTCTATACAGGCTGTACTAAATCTATTCCCATATTGAACGACAGCAATCACCATCTTACGCCTCAATGTACAAGCACATTAAAGTTAATGAACTATTTGACGAATTACCTGGCTTATGGTGAGGCATTACATTTACAAACCTGCATGTCAGCTACTATGGCAAAGTTATTTAGTGCATTTTTAAAATAAAGCTATTGGTGAGGCTGATGTTAGAAAGTGTTGATGTTTGTCTTGGAGCTTATAAAGGTGAATTCTAAAAGCAAATATTTACCAGTGCTTAAGTCACTGAGATGCGATGTAGCATGACTTCTCTGCTGTGTGATTGGCAGGTACTCAGACAGCACCACCGATGCGCTGGAGATGATGGATGATGATGACAAGATCAACCTGCAGCTTATCGTAGCATTGATCAGACACATCGTGATGAAAGAGGATGTGAGTGCTTTCCCTGTATGCCTGGCTATTTTTTTTTGGTGTGTATGTGTTTCCATGTGACTTGGCCAAATCATGGACAGATGGTGAGTCTCCTATAAAGCAGAAACATGTTGGCATGAAATATGTGCTAATAGGGCTGCTTAGCAGATCCTCTCCTCTCCTCTCCTCTTTTTAACTGACATGACATGAACTCCCATTTCCCATGCTTCCCTTTATACCTCTGGGATTGTTTCTTTCTACAGTCAGCTCTTTTATGTGGAAAAATATAGGCACATGTGTCACATGATTGCAGAGATATGTCAGAGAGGGGGAGATAAAAGGCAGTTCTGTTTGGTATCTCTCTTTTGCAATACTACATTCACATACTTTTCATATCACTACATATTCGTACTCCGCATGAAAAAAATAAATATGAGCTCTTTTTTAGGGGTATAAATGTAGGTTATAATATTTGAGTGAGAAATAGCACTCAAATATTATAACCTACTTTTATACCCCTAAAAAGGAGCTCATATTTATTTTTTTCCCTCTGTGGTGTACTTATAATGTCAGTCATGATTTAACTTAAAACCATTTCTATCATTGACCCTTAGACTTAAATGGGCTGCTGTGCCTTTAAGGCACTGTCTCAAAAGGCATCATCAGCCCTTGTGGTTATCCTCCAAGTCACGCTTTGGTGACGTAAGCCAGTGCAGACCCATGGGGGCTTGTCAGCATGTCCTTGAGGGTGAATGTGTTATAAAAATGTACATTTGGGAGAGGCTTTCATTGGCTAATTATTTAATATAAATCAGCCTATGTCTTGGAGTGTGTTTTAAACGCTTGAATATCTTTATTTAAAAAAAAAAAAAAGATATTTTTTTTGGGAACAAATAGATGGTACTAAGGAGAAAAAGGAGACATTGCTGTAGGTTTCATGATGCCATTTATGAATATGTATTTAAAACAGACAGTGGTTGTATAAATCAGAAATGATGCAAGGGAGGTATTCTCACCTTTTCATCTTAAATTTCTTTCTTCCTTGGAAAAAAATATAAATAAGGTTTGCTTTTGAGACTCTTACATTTATAAATGTATAACTTACTTCAGACAATATATTTGATCAAAATCGAATAGGAGTGATGCCATAACTACGGAGGACTAGGAGTGACACTTAAAAATAAAATGAATAAATGTAATAATTCAGGCATACAAATGGAAATAAATAAATCACTTTTTTTTTAAATGGACACATTAATAGGCATATGTAGAACTGTACATTTAATTCATGTTTTAAAATGTATTTAGATCAAATAAATTTAATAAATCATATTTAAATTAAGAAGTTTTAAATGTCAATTTATTATTGAGGGTTTTAAAATGTAGTTAAATAAAAGTAAAGCATTTGAAAAATTGTCAAAGAAATCAACTGGCAAATAGGTGTTCAATTGCATTAAATTTTATTATAATTTACAATTTTATTGTTTCATTTAACTACATTTTAAGCAGGAATAAAATATATGGTTTTAAATGTTAATTTACACTGATCAGCCACAAAATTAATTGGGCCACCTGCCCAATATCATGTAGATCCCCCTTCGTACTGCCAAAACAACTCTATAATGTGTCGAGGCACGGACTCCATAAGACCTGTGGATGTATCCTGTGGTATCTTGCACCAAAACATTAGCAGCAGATCCTTTAAGTCCTGCAAGTTTCAAGGTGAGGCCTCCATGGATCAGGTTTGTCAGGTTGTATGGAATGTGCTGGACCGAGCACATCATATAGATGTTCAATTAGATTGAGATCTGGGAAATTTGGAGGCCATGACAACACCTTGAAAACCTTGTAATTTTCCTTAAACCATTCCTGAACTTTTTTTGCAGTGCAGCAGGCTGTGGGTGCCATCAGAGAACATCACTTCCATGAAGGGGTGTATGTAGTCTGCAACAATCTTTAGGTACATGTCAAAGTAGCATCCATATGAATGCCAGGACCAAGGTTTCCCAGCTCAGCATTGCCAGTGAAACTGCCTCGATCCCCACATCCATCAATGAGCCTTGGGTGCCCATGACCCTGATGCCGGTTTACCAGTTGTCCTATTCGGCCCTTGTCAAAGTCACTCAGATCTTTTTGCTTGCCCATTTTTCCTGTTTCAAACACATGCAATTCAAGAACTGACTGTTTACTTGCTACCTAATATATCCCACCCTTTGACAGGTGCCTACTTTAACAATACAATCAGTGTTGTTTACTTCACCTGTCAGTAGTTTTAATGTTGTGGCTGATTAGTGTATTTTTTATTTAAATATGATTTATTGATTTATTTTATTTTAACATTTTAAACATAGATTAAACCGGTTTAAGCATGTCTATTCATTTGTCCATTTAAAAGTGATTTCCATTTTTATGTTTGAATTAACAAATTATAAACATGACACCAAAATAAAATCAGCACAGTAATAGCTTCTACACAGTCTTTCTTGCTGCAAAAATGAATGCGATAAGATAGTCCAAATCTCCATTTGGCCCTAAGAGCCCTTTGTAAAATATTTAGTATATAATTCCTGTAGTTTGATAATTGTACTTATGTTATTGTAGGTCATTCTCTAGATTGTAATCAGTTGGAGATGTGGCCTAGTGGTACATTTTATATTCTATATCACATTTGTGCTATTGTTGGTGAACTAAGCTTGAATCTGGCTTGCACCGTCTCTCATTCTCTCTTCTTTTCATAATCTCCTGTCTTCTCTGTACTGTGCTGTCAATAAAAAGTTGCAAAGTGTCCAAACAAGTATAGCGTTGAAGAGAACACGCAGACCCTGAACTGGTTTGTCTTGATGGCAGACACTATTTCCTTGAATTATGCAGTCAAAAACCTAAGAACATAATTGCTGTATGAGCTAAAAGTCCTCTGAACCTTACTAGAAAAGTGCAGCAAGAGAGAGAAATCAGAGAAAAGTTTAGCTTGCATTTATTGGCCGCTATCAGTGTGGGTTGTCTTTCAGGAGGAAAGTATTGCGATTGGCTCATTAAGAAGCCAAACCATGAAATTACAGATCAAAAGCAGTTTTAATTAATGTCTGGAGATAAAGCACCCTTGTTGACTTCACTATCTTCTGACTGGCTCTTCACTAACCTTAAAGTCAAGAATGTATGTGTCTAAGAAGAAATAATGTCTGGGTTGACCATGTAACCCCTAAAATGGCAGGCAAATAAACCCACTCTGTATCGTGAAGTATGAAATAGTCCCATCACATCTGCCTCAAAGTCTCTGTGTATTGCTGTTCTTTTTGTTTGGGGGAGGAAGATGAAGAGCAAGTTTCTTTAGAAAGTGC